TTAATATACATATTATCACTTTGAATATTTCCAAAATTTTTTAAAATAAAAAATATTTGAAGTTTTTTATTATTAAATTAATGAAATTATTTTTGTTTTACAAATTTTCGAAAATTTTGAAAGATTTTTGGAGTTTTTTTAAAAAATTTCTGAAAAATTTTTAATAGGTAGAAATCTCTGGAGTTCTTCACCAAAAAAATTTCTTGATTTAGTATCTTTTATTTATAATAAAAATAAATTAAAAAATATATATAATATAATATAATATAATATAACTTACTTTTTTTTTCAATATTTGATCAAAAATAATTTAAGTTTATTAATTTTTTCTAATAATATATATACTTAAGTGAATACTCAAATTAGATTTATATTAATCGTTTCATGATCACTTACTAAATCAACTGAATCTATAAGTATATGCTAATACAGTATGTTCTTTGTATAGTTTTATTATTATTATTATTATATTTTTCAGTTTTTAAATATTGTTCAACTGAAATTTTTTTTCATGATTTGATATATTGTTGTAAAAAACATAAAATAGTTTTTTGCCTTTTATATAAAAATTTTTTTGATAAAGGTTATATTTTTATTGATATTTACTAGCAGTAATTATTTTTTTTTTTTAATAAATAATTAGAAAAAATTATACCAACTATATAAATTATATAATATACTATAATTGATATATTAGATATATATCTGATATATTGAATAAGTATAAAGTGATAAATATGTAGTTATATATAATATGCAAAAAAAAGATTATATATACATAATACTTATTTCTGTTTATCCTAATCTAAATAATAAACAAAACAATAAATCACTTCTAAAGTTATATTTAAAGTTTGAAAACAAATTAAGACAAGTGAGTTAATTAGTGATTTAGTTTTAATAACACTCTAATTACTATAGCCTATAATATATTTAATAAAATAAATATAATTAATCTGATAGAAAATTAAAAAAAAAAATTTATTAAAGTATTATTATTGTAATATATATACTTTTTTACTATATAGTTAATAAAACTTGAACATTTTTTTAGAGTAAGTATTTGAACTTGAACTAATTTATCAATTTAAGTTATTGTTTATAAAGTTTCTCTTGATATTTAAAAAAATATTAATTTGTATTAACTTTAATTTAATTGAAAACTTTATGAAATTAATATTCGATTTTCAAGAGTTCATTATAATTTAGTTCTTTTTTTGTTTTCTCTTTTTGAAAAAAAAAAGTTTATATAGTAAAAGTTGATGATTTTATAATTATTATTTATTTTTATGCTTTGTTTGAAAGTTCTTATTTTTTATAAATTATTAATTGTAAAGATATTTTTTTTTCTTAAAAAAATTTTATTAAAAAAATTTTTTTTCTAAAAAAAATAAAATCAATAAAAAGAGTTTTTTTATGATTCAAAATTTTTTAATTATATTATAATAATATAAAAAAAATGTTTATATAAAAGTTTTTTTATTTTTTTTGATTAAAAAAAATAAAGAGAATATATTTTTTATCAATAATAAAAAAGTTTTTAGAATATCTAAAGAATAACTTTTTTATTTTTTGAAATAAACTATTATAAAGATTTTATGCAATTAAAAATTTTATTTTTTTTTTTTATTAATTGTTTTTACTCTTTTATAATTTTTACTTTCATGATTTTTAAAAAAATTTTATCTATTTTAGTTTTGTTCTAAATTTTTGAATAATATAATTATAATAAAATTATTAATAATAAAAAAAAATTTTTTTCTTTAATTATGCAAGTTTTAAAGATAATATTAAAAAATAAATAATAAATAATCTTTTTATCTTTTATTAAGTTCTTTAAATAGTAAAAAAACTTTTTTGAAAAAAAAACCAATATCTCAAACTTCTATTCTAATTAGGTAAAGTTGAAAATAATACTGATACTATTATTTTGGTCAAGCTATAAGTATAAGTCTTATAGATAAAAGATATAAAATAAGACTTTCTACTTTAAAAACTCAAAATAATAAATTTCTCAAATAATATATAGTCTCAATAATCAATAAATTATTTTTAGATGGTTCGAAACCAATTAATTTTAACTAAACTCTTTCTATTTAATATCTGTTTTGTGATAAAAATATAAACAGTTTTTGGATTCGATTTTAAATTAATAATTGATTTTGTTATCAAAATTCCTAAATTTTTATCATTTATTCTATTAAGTATAACTAGCCGATTATCAAATAAATAGTGATCTAATTAAAGGTTTCTGAATCGAGAAACACCATTGCCGTTACATACTCATTTAAATAGCTGATGTCATTTTTTTCTTTTTTCCATATTGATGAGCGGTGCAATTCTCGAATTCATTATTTATCCTACAGCACGATTTACAACACAGGTATGTGCATGTCGATGCGGCAATGTTTTGACAATGAAGGCATATCGGTTTTGGTGGACGCTTAACTGAAAAAAATAGATCATGTTGATACTAAAATACATTACATTATACGAAAACAGATTGATCGATATTTACACCTAATAATAAACTTTATAAATGTAAAATAAATAAATATTAACTACCTTTCTTTTTGGATCTTTTCGAATCATACTCAGATATTGAATCAACATTGGAGTCTGTGAAATTCCGAATATTTTCAGACGTTGGAGTGTAATTTTCCGACAAATTGCCCGTTGTCAAACAAGACTCGTGGCTCAACTTTGATTCACATGATTTCACTAATGATTCGGAATCAGTGGATGAAGTCTTGACGAATTCGTCTGTATTGTCCACGATAGAATCATGTTTAATTTTTAGTGATGATTTATCAGAATTAATGACTATTTTATGGTCCTCCTTTGTGTTTGAAACATTCGTTGTTTGATCATCTGGAATTTTCAGCTTTATTTTTGCGTTTTCGGATACTACGGGGCGGATATTGGGTTGACATAACCAATGAGGAAAAATCTTAAATCCATTGTCATCACATAATATTGCGCTTTCTGGGGATTCAGAAGATGTTTTCTAATGCAGAAATAATCCATTTCCTTAATTTAGTCGTGTGTTAATATATATAACCAGATATTTATTTTCTAATTTGTCTACTAACCATTAAACGATTTTGAAGTTCGTCAGATATTTTGAATAGTTCTTCGAGAGTATTGACCTTGCTAAGTTGTTCCCTTAAGTCTACATGAAACGGAAGTGCTGGCCTATATATCTTGAAAAGGTGGGCTCGTATATAAGAAATTTTCGTAGGAACAGATTCACAGATTTCTAAATACTCTTTGGCTAATTTCCACACAGGTGGATTGATCCCTGAGAAAAATGCCGGGTTGTAAAGATTACCCTCTGCAGACATAACTCCATCAACACCAGTAATATTTATACACCTTTCAATGTCCTCAAAATAGAGTATATTTCCATTGGCTATCACCGGTATTTTGAGTTCTTCCCTTATATAATATAAGAATCACCAGATTTAGGGATAATACTATTGTCACGTGACACAAGTTAGATTTAGACATACTTGACACGCCGAATCTGCTCCCAATCCGCCAACGCGGTTTTGTGACCTTTTTGATCACGGACGCGACCGTGTACAGTCAATAATTGAGCGCCCGCACTTTCAATCATCTTCGCATATTTAATGGTTTTTTCCACATCGGGGAAAATGCGTATTTTTGCCGTCACAGGAACCGCCAGGTTTCTATGAAGAATATTTACTATGGATTATATTTTATTAAGTCTATATTGATTTCTCTATACTTAAAATTCATAGTTCGGAACTCACTCAATTTGTATATTAAATCCCATTCATCTTGTAAAAAAGCGCCATAATGACCACGACGGGCGATATGCTGTGGGCAACCCAAATTCAAGTCAACTGCATCGCATTGATCCTGCACTCTTAAAGCTGCCTTAAGTAATATTTCCGGATCATTAGCACAAAACTAACAGATATATTATGTTCATTAGTAATGAGTCTAAGTTCTTATTCCCTATAACATAGAAACCAACCTGTACAATTAAAGGCCGATCATCTGATCCAGTAGACCATATATCATTCTGGTATTGTTTGTTCTTTTCATCGCAAAACATTTTGGCATGTATCATTGGGGTGTAGCATACTTGTGCTCCATAGCGACGAGATAAAATTCTCCATGCGTATTCTGATTGATCCACCATTGGGGCAAGGAAGTATTTGGCATTTTTTAAAACTGTCTGATAGAATTCAAATCCTTGGAGTTTTTGATGAGACATTTGTTAAATTTTTTTTTTAATCTGCGGCTTAAAAGTTCGATGCGCACGAGTTACACAAATTTTTTGACCTATCAGATCAATTTTTTTTTTTAATTCGGCTAATGAATATACTTTTATTCAACAATTAAGTTATGAGTCAAACATTCGTAGCATATGGAAAAAGAGAAAAAGGATAACTTTTTTACTATTAATTAATATAGGTTTCTATATGTAATGTATGATTAATATACTGAATTTGAAAATCTGTTTAAGTCAAGATTTCATCATGGATTTTTTTTTATTAAAAATCATAAAATTAGTAAGATATAATTAATCAATATTATTAATTAATATAAAAACTAATAGTGATACAGTGGTGATTATATTTTTTTAAACAAATTTAAACTCAATTTACTCGATAATCAATGATTAGAAAGTTATAATTATTCTTTTATTTAAAAATAAAATAGTAAGAGATTTAATAAAATAATATTAATAAACAATTCTATCATCTTTTTTTTAATAATCACCTTATATTGTGATTTCATTAATCCTACTAAATTCTTTATAATGTTTTTAAGTATTTTTTACTATTCTTATTCAATATATACTATTAATTCATCTAAATTTCACCAATTTTTTTCCTCCATATTTCTTTTGACTAATCTCCATAAATTCTCAATCAGATTAAAATTAGAACTATTGGATGGCCAGTCCATTATATCAAGCACATTTTCTTTGAAAAACTCTTTGCTTTGAAACTTGTACATTATCCTGCTAAAGTCACCAATAATTTTTCATCATATTTTTGATCTCAAGAAGTTGTTCTCATATAATATTTACAAAAAATTTAGCATTTATCATATTGATAAAGCAATAAAAGCTTATTTTTTCTTTGATCAAAAATCTATCTCAAGAATAAAATTTTTTCCTATTTTTAGAAATATTTTATATTAATTTATAGTTCTTATATCATTGTATGATTATGTTTTTGAATAGTTGAAATTATATTTTATTTGAGAATAAAATTCTGAACTAGTCATTATTAAGATATTTCTTTGTACATTTGATTCTATTCTTTTTTTGATTTAATATTAACATGGATATTACAAGTGAAAGAGAATTTTTATAGCCAAGATTAATAAAATAACTTCAAATCATATATTTGAAGACTGTAACATCCTGTTCTGATAATTTGCAGATTATATGAACTATAGAATCCATTGAATTTCAGTGAAAATATTAATCTATAATCCTCAAAATATTGTTATTAATATTTTTTGATTTTTCTATATCTAGTTTATGTTCCAAGTTACCTATCTCTATTAACTTTTTGAGATTAAAATATATTGTAAAGTAACTGATGCTAGTTCACTATTGAATTTTTTATATATTATATATGCCATTATTTTATAAGTATAAAATTATCTCCCATTGTTGTTTCTAAAAATCATTACTCTTAACATACTTTATACAGGTGGTACTAAAGCATGATCTACTTTTTCTATAACACATAAAGTTTGTTTATGCAAATTGAGGTCCTTTATACAATTATGGCTTGGTTGCTACATATGATCAAAGTCATATACAATATATCCAAAAAAATATGATTACTACTATAAATAGAACAATTATATTATAGTTAAACTAGATCTTATATTAACTCACTCATTAATGACTTTTAATTCTCAAAAAAGCTTTAATTTTTAAGTACAATCTTAAAAATAATATTTTGTTTTATACTAAATTTTGGATAAATACACTTCTAACTTATATATTATTGCTAGCAGTTTATCACTACTTATTATCTTTCAAAAAACTGATTTTGAGAAATTACAAAAAAAAAAAAGAAAAAAAAAAAGAATATCTAAAAATATATAACTATACTTATATAAAAATAAAAATAAAAAAAAAAACAAATTTGTTTCATATTCTTTAAAAAACCTCTGCTAAAAACTTTTTCTTATTAAAAGTTAACACTTCTAGGATATTCTTCTTCTTTCTAATTATCTGAAAAACTTATATATTCTTAACTTTAATTATTTTTTTGTAACTATTACTAGTCAAAATTGTGTTATTTGACTACTGAATTATTGCTGAATTTAATAAAAATTAATAATAAAAAGATTGACGAATTATTTATGATTGCTACTACTCAGTATTAAAAATATTAACAAAAAATCAGCAAAAAATATTGGCATATTATAAAAAAAAATTCAGTATAAAATCTGGAAATATTGCAATAAAAAATTTTTTTTGCATACTGTAGTCAAAAATTTAACAAAAAAATTGATACTGCAGCTAAAAATTCAACAAAAAAATTGATACTACAGCCAATAATTTAACAAAAAAATTGATACTGTAGCAAAAAATTCAACAAAAAAATTGATACTGTAGCAAAAAATTCAGTAAAAAAATTAATACTATGATAAAAAATTCAATAAAAATTGATACTGTGGCAAAAAATTCAACAAAAAAATTAATACTGTAGCAAAAAATTTGCAAAAAAATTGATTCTGTGGCAAAAAAATTCAGTAAAAAAATTAATACTATGATAAAAAATTCAATAAAAATTGATACTATGGCAAAAAATTCAACAAAAAAACTAATACTGTAGCAAAAAATTTGCAAAAAATTGATTCTGTGGCAAAAAATTCAATAAAAAAATTAATACTATGATAAAAAATTCAATAAAAATTGATACTGTAGCAAAAAATTCAACAAAAAAATTAATACTGTAGCAAAAAATTTGCAAAAAAATTGATTCTGTGGCAAAAAATTCAATAAAAAAAATTAATACTATGATAAAAAATTCAATAAAAATTGATACTGTGGCAAAAAATTCAACAAAAAAATTAATACTGTAGCAAAAAATTTGCAAAAAAATTGATTCTGTGACAAAAAATTTAGCAAAAAAATTATTACTATAACAAAAAAATTCAGCAAAAAATACTGTAGGCAAAAAATTCAACAAAAAAATTATTACATCAAAAAATTCAAATTTTATGAAATTTATTAAAAAATTATAAAATCAATTGACTGAATTATTTATCATTTTCTTCTTTCTTCTCTTCCTTCTTTTCCACTTGGTTTTCTTTTTCCTTTAAAGATCTTGGTTTGACTCTTTTAAAATTAGCCACAATTGATTTTACCTTGTTAAATGTTTTCCAAGATTTTTCATTTTTTTCTTCTAACCTAACTCCTCCTGAATTTTATCTATTTGTATACTTTCTTCAAGTTATTTCTCACTCTCTAAATATATTAATAATTTCTCATATTTAGTAATTTTTCATTTTTTGAATTTATCTATCGATTTTTTATTTTTTTTCTATCTTTTGTTTTTGTTCATGTTCTGAAATTTCTTTCAGACTATATACCCAATTAGGTAAGTCTTTTGGTAAAGTCACATTATAGAAATATAAATCATCATAATATCATTTATGAGTCAGTTAAAATGCTTGAATTGATGTCAATTGTTCATCCAAATATTTCAACAAATCTTTTAATTATAAGTAATTATGATTAATATTGTAATTATTTAGTATAAAATATTTTATCAAAAAATATCTTTTTAAAACACTAACTATAATTATATATATTTATTCTTCTTTTAGTGGGGTTTTCTGGATCAGTCTCATTTTCTTCAGATAAATGTACCATTGTTTCTTTAATTACATTAGTTAATTCATCCCGATATTTGACAACTTTCTTTGATCTTTATTCAATAAATGACTGTATACTTTTAATTTTTTATGCCCTTTTCTTAATTATTTGCTAAAAATTAATACTTGAAGATAGTATAAATATAGAATATTATTAATCTTATTTTGTTTAATCAGCTATTTATATATAAACAATGATCATCTGTTTCTAGTTTTCCAGTTTCTGCCTTCCGATATCTTTCTCTTTAATGATGATATAAAGTGTCTAACTATTTGTTTATTTGCTTTCGTAGGAAATTAAAACATGGAGCCATAGATTTTATTAATTTGGATATCAACTTTTGTAATATTTTTTTATTCACATCATTCAAAAAAACTTTATCTATTCTCAGTTTATATTCATCAGAAATAGTTTTCATTAAGACCTTCATTTTTATTCTTGCTTCTTCTAATTTTGGCTCATCTTCAGTAACCAGTTTTACTGGTTTTGCCTCTTTACTACTTCTTTTAAATTGAATTTTTTGGTGTTTTCCTAAACTTGGCAAACTTTTGGATTCTGATATATCAGCTATTCTAGATTCTACAACAACTATAGAATCAAGTTCAGGTTCCACAGATTTGAGCCAATTAATTTCTTTTTTAAATCTTCTATTTCATTTTTTTCCTATTCTAATTCTTCAAAAAACTTGCTGTTAATATATTCCATTAGGTCTAATTGTTTTACAAATTTGATATTTTTTCTTTCTAGTTTTTTGACCTGTGCATGTAATTATTTGTTTTCTAAATAAATTGGTTAATTAATAAAGGTAAATTTTAATAATTTAGCAATAATTTAATTTTAACTTTTTTCAATAACCTCCCTAATTTGAGTTTCAAGTAGCAATTCAACTTCCAACATTGATATTTGTGCAACTTTAGATACCAATATTTTAGGTAATACAATAGATGGCCTTCTTCTAAGCAATTCAGTAGCTATAGTAAGGATTAAATATTCAGCACCAAGTATTATTAAACAAACTGTTGCCACTTTTAATATAGTTGATACAAAGAAAGTTTACAATGACAGAAAAGATTGTGAAGGTTGTGAAGGTAAGGATGACTGTTCTCTATAAAAAGTGTGTCCAGTTGATTTTTTTTTGTTCAGATATTTTAAATATCGAAAAAAAATATTAAATTAAAGGAATAGTTAAATAAAATTATTTGTATTGTTTTAATATAATTCAGAACTATATATAATATTATACTATTATTCATTATATTATATTACAATTCAGAGTTATACTATATTATACTATATATTATTCATTATATTATACTTGTATTATATTACAATTTGAAGCCATTTAATATATCAATCAC